TCAGAAGAGATGCACTCACTTGGTTCTCACAAGTCAGTATGGCTAACGAGTACTTGAACTGTAGTTAATGACAGTGAGGAAGCAAATTTTAAATTAAATTTAGTTCATTATAAATTTAAATAGCCACATGTGGCAAGTGGCTACAATGCTGGACAACGCAGTTGCAGAGAATACTAGAGTGCTCTGAAAATATCCTGCTGATGGGACCTCCGGAAAGAAAGGTGTGGGAATAATTTAGAGAAAGCTTTTCTCACAGTCATGAAACCCTGCAGTAGGGAAGAGTCCACTTATTTTCTTTCTCCTTAAAAAACAGAACAAAGAGCAGGAAGCAACCAAGAAGAGCAGAGTTGTGTCTGTGACATATCTCCTTATTTTTTATGCTATAGATTTTGTCATTATTAATATTAGCACAAGAAACTAGCCCATGACAATCTGGAAAACATTCACAGACCAAAGTTCCAAGGACTCTGTGAACTAATAGTTAAAAGAATCATATACCCAAAATTTGTTTCAAATGTTACATTTACGTAAAGATTAACTTTTAAGGAAAATCTGTTTACTGTGAAACCAAACCCCCTTGCTATCAAGTCTATTCCCACTCACTGTGGCTCTGTAAGACAAAGTTGAACTGTCCCATAGGATTTCCAGCCTATAAATCTTTATGGAAGCACACTGTGCATCTATCTCCTGATGAGAGGCTAGTGGGTTCGAACCATTAGCAGTCAAGTGCTTTAACCACTGTGTCACAAGGACGCCTTTAGTCACTACAGTTAGTTGCTTTATAAATTAACATTCCATTATTTGCAATTAATCCAGGAAGTAAGGTCACTGTTAGGTCTGAGCAGTGGTTTCCATCATTTAGAGGAAAGTTGACACTGAAAACAACTTATCCTTGGGAGAGAGGCTCACAGAACCACAAATATGTTTGGACTTTTAAAAAAGGGAGACAGAGTCCGGAGACTTCTCCTGAGAAAAACTGCAACCTCTAGTGAGTTGGGTCCGCCTGCAGTATAGTATAGCAGCATTAAGCTGGTGCTAGGCTGCAATGGAGGCCCCTTTTGTCATCTTGGCCCACCATTCTTATGCAATTCATCTGTGTGCAGAAATCCCTGCCGGCCTGATTTGTCAGTGTTACCTCCTGACCTTTGGTGTCAAAAGTTCTCTCCACTGATGAGGAGATGCTTGTCTTTTTTAGTATTTCTAAAACACTAAAATCTTTTTAGTATCAAAATTAAAAAAAAATTTTTTTTTAAAGTGATTGTGGTGATATACTAAAAAAGACAAGTGTGTCCTCAAGATTTGGAAACAAATGCATGCTTGACTGAATCACTGCTCCCCACTTGTTGATATTTTCATGTCTATTCTCAGACTCTCTGATGTAACGTTTCATCTAAAAATAGTTTAATTTCAACAATAATAGGTAGTATGACTTCCCACAAACGCATTTGGATAAATATTTGAAGAGCACTTTGGAATTCATTTAGATAAAATTTTCATCACAAATTGTGCAAGAAGGAGTTCCATAGCCTTTACACTGCATAGTTATCTACAGTGCTTGCCACAGCGCTCTGGTTCTCCTCTCATTTCCATTAATCCAGGTCTTGAAAGGATGAACACTGCTGGGTGGGTCCCAGCTTTCTGATGGTGAGCCAACTTTAATGAGGCTTTCATAGTTTTCCTCTATTTCCTTTGTGTTTCATACACATCAAGTTCTAAATTCAGATAAAATTTCCTTAATGGCTAAAGTACATTATTAAAGATGGAAGATACCTAAGACTGCTAAAATTTGGTTGTATTTTAAGGAGAAACTGTTGTTAATATAAATAGTAAATTACAATTGGGGAAGAATAGGGATATATTGATTATTAGGGAAAAAGATGATCCTTTCAGTGTAAAATGAGAAAAGAAATGCTTATGAGTTGGTAGATATTGGGAGGAATTTTTTAAATTACATGGACAGCTATTTATGATATATTAAGTTGAAAACCCAATTTCAAAGCAATGTGCATATTATCCTCCTATCTAAAAAATACACACAAAACACAAAAAGTGACTGGAAGAAATTTTCCAAAATATTATTCTTCAATGGAAGGCTTAGGAATGGTCTTTGGTTTTTTTCTGTTTAGGCTTTTCTGTATTTAAATTAAAAACATTTTCAATTGTTTTGCAATATTTATTCATTACTTAAAAAAAAAAAAAAGATAATACTTTAAAAAGAACAACCTAGTCAGAAAATTTGTAAATAGTATATTTACAAATAGTGCTACCAGAGCTCCTTCCTAGGTCTACTGTTGTTAAGTGTCTTCGAGTCAATTCTGACCCTTAGCGATCCTGTATAGCGTTTCCAAGAAGCAGCTGGTGAGCTTGAACCGCCAACCTTGCAGTTCAAACAGCTTTGCTGTCTGGCGCATTAACCCACAGCACCACACCAGGACTCCTAGTACAGTCAAATGCTTACCTACAGAAATATTTTTATGAAGTGTTACCACAGTTACCTAGAAGGAGGGAACAAATTAAACTGTTTGGGAGGGAAGTTTCTTCCTATTGGAAAGAAGTAATTTTCTTTCACGGGTGGTAGGTTTCTGTCTGCTTTCTTTGTTTCTTGTCTAAAGACAAACACACAAAAAACAAAACAAAACTAGAAAGACAAGATAACACTAATTCCTAGTCATGGAAACCTTGTTTGTAAATTACCAAAAACAAGACGCTAGTCTAGAAAGGTTGGAGTCCAGAGGTTAAAAAATCTGCCCCTCGGAGGGCCGGGCCCAGGCTTACAGCTAAGGGTTCTGTTGTTGTTGTTGTTGTTGTTGTTATTTTTTAATCCTTGTAAAAGTAGGTTGATGTTTTTGTCAAGTGCGTTTGAGTAGGTTCTGACTTATAGCAACTATGTATAGGGTTTCCAATGCTGTAAATCTTTGCAGGAGCAGAAAGCCTCATCTTCTCCTGTGAAACAGCTGGCAGTTTCAAACTGTTGACTCTGAGGTTAGCAGCCTGACTCGTAACCACTATACTACTAGAGCTCCTTCCTGTAAGAGTATAGATAAGTGAAATATTTTTTGAGTTTAGAAAAGAAGCAAATAGATTAAGGTAGTATAGGGACTTCTGGTGCAGCACTATAGGATCAGCACTGGACTGTGAACCACAAGGTTGTTAATTCAAACCCAGCAGCTGCTCCTAGGAAACCCTATACAGGGTCACTATGAGTCAGAACCTACTCAACAGCACTTAACAACAACAGATAGTTTAAGTTTGGTATGGGAAGGTGTCATTCTGTTCTAAGTTGTTAATATTTTTCCAGTCTTGCCCTATATCATGTTGCTTTGTTTAGAAATGAATAGTTTTTCAGGTCAGGCCACATACATTTAAGGAGCTCAGTGCAAAGTAAAAAAGTCAATTATCTTCCCTTTCCATAAATAAGCCTGTAACAAAACCCATGGTAGACCCCAAAGGATTACCACCTCTACCCTGGTACATGCTTAGTACCTGGATCAGAATAGACATGTGAGAGGTTCCTACCAAACATTAATTCTCCCACCAAACATACGATGGTACTGTCAGTCCATATGGGATGGCAGATGACTTAATCTACTCCAAGAAGCTGACCCTGACCTCTCTGGTGTCTATGCTGGGGTCCCCAGGGGAGAGCAATGAGAGAATGTAGGCCTTCCCCTGAGGAGGAAACACTAAGTCGCCCAGGATAGAGAGGAAGGTGAGAGGAGGAGGAGATGAGGGAAGAACTCATCCAGCGGAGGCAATACTGTATGTGAGACAGCACTCCTAGTCCTGGAATGGGCTCCACTGTCCCAATCAAATTCAAAGATAATATTATTAAGGATTTCAAACAGTGTCTGCAAAGCATTAAAACTCCAGGCATGAGGGCTTTCTGAGTGTGGAACCCTGTTCTACTGCACTAATTGTAGGCCTATAACATTGGCTTTGCCTGTTCTTCTTACTGAACTAGTTGTGCCATAGATCTTGTAGACTAAGTAGAAACTATTTAGGTCTCATTGGATTCTTAGTTTACATGGACTCTCAAATGTTTCTGCACTCAATAAGATTATTTAAAATTGGGTGTTGGTTAGGGTAGAAACGAAGTAAAGTGATAGGAACTAGCTAGATTCCTTGCTTATAAAAAATAGTATTATAGTTGGTGGCCTGACACCAACTCTTCAATCTACAAAACAGCATTTAATGCTTATATATGTATGTGAGCACGGTGACTCTGTAAGATAAATGCTGGATTGCGAACCACAAGGTTGACATATGGAGCCCCGCAGTCGCTCTATGGGAGAACAATGAAGGTTTCTGCTCTTGCAAAGATTTACAGAAACCAAATCTTGTAACTCATGCATACACACATGAAGGGGATTCAAAAGCTCATGGAAAATTGAATTAAAAGATAATGGAATTCTCCCACAACTTTTTAAAAACCCACTTATATGTGTGTGTGTCTTTTTTTCCTATGCTATACTCAGGGATCTATAAAAAATAAGGCAAACGGAAAACTATAAGAAAATCTTAAATTATGTTCAGGACATTTTTTGAGAAAGTAGGGAGGCTTGTAACACATTTTAAAAATAGTTTTCCTTGATTCAGAAATGTCCAGAATTGACAATAGTTGCAATTAAAGTAGATAAACTTTAGTTATTGGAAAGCATTTAATTATATAAAGCACTTCATTATTTTTTATGTTGAATATTTGAAATGTAACAATATTTAGGCACACTAGCAATTAGTTATGTAATTTATGTTACTGTAAAAATAAGTTCATTTTAGTAGAAACAAATCTAGACATAGTATTATCTCAATGTACCAGTTTAGGGGAATAGCCAAACTCTGTTACTTATGTAGTTAAAACAAAAGCGCAATACCCCTGAGGAAAGTGACTGGAGCTGAAAACACAGCAGCGGCCTTAAGAGGAAATGACCAACATCTTTAGGGTGACTAAAGTTTGTAACTGCTACAAACTACTAACCGACGAGGGCCATCATAATACAGACCTTCCTTTGCAGCTCCTCTTGTTCCTTCTCATACTTTTGGATCATTTCTTGGTATTTTTCTTTTTCAATATCGAGTATCAGTTTAGCTTCTTCTTTAAAGAGACGAGCTTGCTCCTCAAATTCAGCTGAATGTTGGGCTTTTTCCTTGGCGAGTTCAGCTTCAATCTAGAAAACAGCATGTAACGTACATATAGTCATTTTCCCTTGAAGTAAGTACATTTATCTAATCTATTTCGAGAATATACTATTTACAAATTGAAAGAAACCAAACACAGCAAAACAAAAACTGTGACTCAGGCTTTGGGTTGGAAAAATTAGCATTAAACCAAATGCTCTAAGACTTTCTTAAAGACTAAAATAAGTAGGAAATTTAGGACATTTACTATGACAATTTTCAGAAATGCTACCAGGTTAATCTTCTGTACATTTATATTGTAAACTTGGTCCTTACCAACAGGTTTATAAGTTTTTTTTGTTTTTTTTTTAAAGATCTTGAAGCTTTTAGACTAAATTCTGCTTAAAATTCAGAGGGGATACCAAGTACAAATCACACCAACTGTTCCTTGGAAACCCTATACAGGGTCGCTGTGAGTCGGAACTGATTCGAAGGCACTACTAAATAACAACAACAACAACAACAACTAAGTACAAATGTTGATTTTTTTTTTAAAATGACATCTTTTTGATAAAGTTTCACAATTATAAACTATTTTATTGTGACAAGGCTGGAGGAATGATTAAAGAATCACCTGAGATGCTTGCATTCAGAGTTTGACTCAGAATCACATTTCTGGAAGGAATCTTAGAAATCTCTCAGTTCAATCTCTCAAACCTCTGTGAATTGTGAAATGAATAAATGTAGACTTGGATCCACATGGATTTGAGCTTAAATCCTGGCTGTGCAACTTGCTAATGTGTGATCCTAAGTCTGTGAGTATAACCTCTTCTGGTCTTAGTAAAGTAGGCTATAATGATTTCCATCGGGGGTCATTATGAGGACTGAATGTGTAAACCTCCAGCAGGAGCAGGAATTCAAAAGTCATTTAAAATTATTTCTATGCTCTGATTTTCAGTCTCTATGGCAAAATCAGCATCAAACAAATGTCTGCTCTGTGCCTCACCACTTCCAGAAACCATAATTCACTCCTCCTTTCTCAGCAGGCATTTCCATTTTCAGACAGCACTAAGCCTCAGGCTGTTTTACCTTTAGTGGAGCTAACATCTCTCTGCCTGTGGCTTTTAATGATTACAGTTGGCTTGGCCTCCTGGTATGGCATTGTCCGATAAGCATTCAACCAAAAGGTCAGTTTGAATGCAGTGTCGGTGGTTCAAACTCACCAGTTGCTCCTTTGAAACCCTATATAGGGTTACTGTGAGTCAGAACCGACTTGATGGCACTTAACAACAACAAAAACAACAGGAGCACTGTAGGATAAACCTTGCTAACCACAAGGTTGGTGGTTCAAGTTCACCAGCTGCTCCTTGGAAATCCTACACAGGGTTGCTATGAGTCGGAACCAACTTGATGGCGCTTAACAACAGGAGTAATAACAAGAACAAATCTAGCAGAACTGGACTCTTTCTAGTAAAATTAGAGGAAGGATTCCTAGTGATGAGCTGGCTCTAGTTTTACACTGTGTCATGATCATAAACTCTAAGGAGTAAATGCAAGGTCAACTGGGAGAAACACTGTCAAACCTGACTGACTGACTGTCTAACAGGAGGACGGGCACAGTCAATCTGCATTTTTCAAGAGAACACTGAAGTCAGGATACCAGGAAACAGCACGTTTACTAGCACAATTTATAGGAAGTGAAGCAAACTGTACTAGGAAACTTCCTGTTTCTTGGTATAATGCAGATAGAAGACTATCCAATTTACTACACTGGGTATAAGACATTTACTCCAATGCAAAGTAAAGTATTTATACCCAGTTTACACCAAAGTTGTCTTGACTCTTTCAAAATCAGTTTCTGACTGTTTTGGAGAGAGGCTACTGATGAGTCTTTTAGAAACATTATAGAACTGTTCATGTGCAGCTTTCAGCCGCTAAAGACTCATAAAGCCTCTGGAGCTCTCAAAATCAGAAACACTCTTCTGAATTCCAGATACTTACATCCACCTACTTACTACCTGGATGTAGTCATTTAGATACCTCACAGGAAACTCAACTAACCTATCTGAATCTGAAATCTTGATATACTTTCTCTACCCGAAAAGCCTGTTCAAACTCACCAGCTACTTCTTGGAACGCCTATACAGGGTTACTATGAATAGGGCCTGACCCAACGGGACTTAACAACAACAATATATGAACTAGAACATTCACAGCAATACTATATATAT